CATCGGTGTATTATGAATATTCACCACTATCAACCTGCAATCTGATCGTGTTCCAGATACCCCAAAGAGCTTGAAATCGAAACCAACTGAAAAGTGGGACATTAGTGCTTTTAGGACTTCCTTTTTGCCGTGTCCAAAGTGTAAGAGCGCTAATGAGGAACACGGAAGAGGAGAAAAACGCAAATAAGGTGCGAATAACTGCAGACGTCACAAACTTGCTTTCAGCATAGTCTACAAACGCCTTCCCCTTAGTTATGTGTACATTGCTGCTTTGCACTCAAATAGTGTTGGATGGTGTGAAATATGCTTCAGTTAGACATATCAAAATTTCATGCGATTTGCTCCACTGGGAAAAAGGTTACGGCAGGCTAAAGTTGGCCGAGTACTTTTGTGCGCTACTGTTATTAGACTATTGTACCTTGTCTTACACTAGTACTACCCATATTACTACAATCTACTTCAAGTCTCTAGCGGTGAGCATGACATGAGTAAAGGTAGGGGTAAGACATTGACCGATCAGTTTTAACACAATGGAGATCGCGCCTCTATGGTCTTACAATCGGATAACTAGCTTATTCTGGCGGTGCTGTTGAAGAACACCGAACATTTATAAAAATCGGCATTATTTTTGTTACAACAGAGGTCCGATTTGAACTTTTAAAGGCTTTTGAAGAGGACATCATGGGAAAGTTGGTGTGAAAAAAGTGGTCAGTATGGTATATCCTCCTAAGGACTCTAAGTAAGGTGTAGATGCCATACGTATCAGTTGTTTACTCTATCCGAAAAAGACATTAGGTGATTCAGTAATGGATGATTTCTGAGAATGAGAAAAAATTTGAAAATGATTTTCCAGAAAATTTTATTTAGATTTTACTTCAGATTTTATTTCAGAGAAGAATGGGAAACGATTTCCAGATAGGAATTTCAGACGAAGAATTTCATTTAAAAAAAGAATCATACGAATATAGCATTTCTATNCGGTTTCCGGATGGAAAAAGTATGGAGATGATCCAAAACATGAATTTCAAAATAAAAGAAAATTTATAAAAATGGTTCCCCAATAGGAGTTTCAAGTAGAGCGTGACACTGGGAAGTTACTGGTATTCTAAAAATCACAAGTAAGCCAATCCCCGCACGTACCTGAACGCTCCACTGACGGAATCAATAATCATCTTTTTCTTTTCGTCTTCCGTACGCTTTTTCATATCTTCAGCGCTGACCGTAATTCCTTTTGCGAGATCTTTGAGATGGCTTTCAAACTGTGATGATCCACTCTTCATCTGCGCACGGATCTCCTCCATCTGAACAAACTGTCGCTATTGAAAAAATCTTTAAAAAAATTTCCAGAAAAAATCTTCAAAATAGGGTCTTGTACGAGTTTCTCTCAAAATATACCTGTTTGTCAAAATCATCACTAATCGCCGGCTTGATCACTTCATATTTCTTCTTCGGACGTTCAAGTTCTTTATCTTTATTTGCCAAATAAGAAGATCGTTTGTAACTAAAAAAGGGCTAATTACGTAATGTAAAGTACAAGGATAAAGGATAAAGTTTTTGGCGTTAATCTATAACGTCTGAGGGATGCGCCCCGCACTCGACTTCCATTCAGAATCGTAGTGACGTAGTGAGTGCGTATGTGGCCTATACAATGACTTGCGGTGGCCAGCCGATGTACAAGTCAGTGCTTTTATCTTCCCAGACGAGTCTGGTTTCAATTCAACGACCCAGGAGGGATGGAAGGCTTGGTTGGCCTAGACGGGCATCAATCCTGGATTCGAACCCCTACCGTGCGTGTGATATAGTGCGCCACTTGCCACTACACCACCCCCGCCCAATGTAAAGTATGTATTGTAAATTAGTTATTGTCTGCAACCTCAGACATCCTTAGCCAATAAATAGGGCTGAAACGAGTAGAAGCAAACCAGTAAGTGTGGTTGGAACGAGTAGAAGTAAGTATAACATACGTTATTGGTTCCTCCTTGATTTCCGGCTCTTTGAACCGATTCATTAGCGAAGAGACGGTTCCCAAGCGACGTGCTTTCTGTTTTGCTGCTTCCTGAACCCGAAATTTATCATATCAAGCCAAACACATGCTTGAAAGAAAGACAAATTAAGAAATCAAAGGTAGACAAAAATAGAAAAATTAAATTAAAAAATAAAACAAAAAGAAATGAGAAATGAAATTAAAGTAAAAATTCGGTAAATTTGATGAATTCGGAGAACTGCTTCTTCTCAGTATGGTGGCTTAATGGACCAACTTAACAGAAAGGAAAAACTTTCAAAAGTTCTATTCAAACCTCATCGGCAGCGGCTTTTTTCTTGGCATCCTCATCCGTCATGTTGAGAGCGGATTTACGAGTTCCACTCTTGTCTGTGACCATCTAAACAACTGAGCTCTGAGGAGTCTTTCAGAATCAAATCTGCATTAAATTGGTACCTTTGTTTTGGTGTCGTCCGAAGGCGTTTCCTTAGCTTTCGCAGGTTCCACCTGAATCAGTATGGAGTTGTTACTGTGAGAAAGCAATGAATAGAGTAATTGGTTAGAAAGTGAAGGGAAGAAGTACAGCCTAATCGACCCATTTGGGAATTTAACGTGATCGGACGTAAATTTGTACTGTGGAGACAAACGGATGGTAAAGTGAAGCTAAGTGGAGTTCAAAAGGTGTGATGGGGGTCTTCTGGAAGCGACGATTTGTGGTATATAACGGGCAAAAAGCGCCCCGAAGACAGTGTTGGTACGAAAGATGTATTGCTCAACTGTCTTGGCAGCTTCCGGGTATTTTACGAGCCTCAGCATCCGGTTGGATCAGCTGGACCAGTCGTTACATTTCTTTTCCATGTTTCTGTGTGAAGACTCAGAGGATAATACATGCTGGCTCTGTCTTCGAGTTCCCTCATTCACTCAACCCGCTCTTCGCTGAGCTCCTTTTCGAGCACTACACACGCAGGAGATTACTGCCCAGATGGTACTCGCAAAAGTTGCATTGGACTGGATTCACAAATCAACAAGGAAGGAGGCCCGTTCCGGGTTCAGGGGGCCAGACAGCCTGAAGCTTTATAATGTTTACTGTACGGTAATCGTAGCAAGTACCAGATTCGTCCGGGAAGAAAAAAGGAATGACTTGTACTTCGGCTAGCCACTGTAAGTCATTGTGTAACCCACAAACGCATTCAAAAAGTCGTTACGATTCGTGTGGGAGTTGAACCAGGGAGGCATCTCACATGTGGGATTGATTAATGCCAGAGATCTTTATCCTTCTACCCTCAAATTGAGATAGAAAACGAAGGTCCGCTAAAAACTGATTTATCTGAATTGCAGAGTCCAAGCTACCCTCCCCCTCCCCCTCTCCCCCCTCCCTCTGATGAACATTTTGGATGATACTGTCGAAGACAGGATGAACTGAACGAAAAGAATATGGTGCCTGGGTTTGCCTGGCAGTACCTATTACACAAAGTTGTTATGCTTATTTTATTGTATTTCAAAATATAAATAGATGAGCCATGATATTCAGAAGTGTAATAGAAGCAAAACAAAAAGTGCAACTGAACATACTTTCGATTTGATATCCTGGGACGGTTTCACTCCAGCTGTGCTGGCCGGAGCCACCTAAAATACGCAGCTGACACATTCGAAAAGTACTTTTCTCATCATCATCACCATCAGAAATCACAAAGTAGTCTGCAAACCTTTGTTGCGGATTCATTCTTCTTGGCGGATTCCTGCACTTTGGCTTCCTCGGCCTTCTTAGCCGGTTCTTTTGTTTCGGCTTTTTCCTTGACCTCCTTGGACGGCTCTTTTTGAGCAACTTTTTGACTTGCAGGAGGCTCTGGAGGCTTTCTGGAATGATTATTCCACTTAATGAGGCTTCAAAGAAATCCAAGGAGAACTTTAGGGTAACCAAGATGAAGTCAGTGAATGAGAATGTTAGAATGCTTAGCTGTCCAGCTTTTTTTTTTTGAAAATTTCGAGGATCGCAGATATAGCTTTGGTATTTCAGGACACAGAAAACAGCTGTTTTTCGAGGAAAATGTTAAGCACTTGAAGAAAAACAGGATTGAATTTCTCGATCATCTTGGGGTTACGCCATGCATCTTACCACAATAATAAAGTCTGTGCATCTGCATTACACTGTGAGTATGAATACAACAGTCTGAACACCTATCCAGTGCAAATTGTGCCATTAAAGGCTGAGCTCACGATAAAAATTCTTTCTGAGATTTCCCAACAGAATGATTTTGAGGTCTCCGAGTATACTATATCTGGCACTACAGTGTGTTTCAAAAGTATGTGCACACCCAACATTTTGTTTTTTTGAGGATACCATTGCTTCCTGTAACCTGTGACCTTCACCATTCAATTCCTTGTGTATGATAACCTACGAACACTTTCCCTGAGAAAACATCGTAGCTGCTAGCACAATTTTTTATTAAAGAAAAATGTTTCTTTGTTTCAAAAGTATGTGCACACTTGGCAAAAAACAAAAATATAACCGAGATCAGAACT